TGTTTGTTTACAGTCTATTCTCCACTAGAATGTAAGTCCCAGCAGAGAGAGTATGGACCCTGCCTGTCTTCTTCAGTGCCCTATTGTTAGCACCTGGCACAGGGCCTGACACATGGTTGCTATAAAATACATATTAAACAAGAGTGGACAAACGACTTCATTAAAGCCTTACAGTAACCCTCATTAGCATTTACATTTTATATATGAAGAAAGTAAGGTTCACTCACCTGCCCAAAAGAAATGGTACAACCAGCTTTCTAATGGCTCTCAACTCCAGGTATGATGGAAAGAGGTGGGACCAGCTTAGCTAACCTAAAGTGCACCTGGTTCCTCTTCCTGTCTGTCTGCCTGTGTTTGTCACCACTCCTAACCCAGGCATCACCAGATAAACTTGGGTAAAGGGGAAAAAAAAAATCTGTAAAGAATGGAAATCTTGCCTTTTACCTCAGAGGTTTGGATACCCCCCATCCCCCAACCCTCCTCTTCCCCTCAATCCTAGGGTTGATCAGCAAGTCCTTCTAGTTCTGGCCCTCCCTATCCCACTTCTCTTGCCTTCCTGAGCCACATCATCTCCTCCTCTTCCACTTTAGGCCCTGGCACACTAGTTCCTTCACCAACAAGGCTGTTCTAGTCACTTCCTCAGTGAGCAAGCTAGCTTTGCCCTTTGAAACTCAACCTGAGCACCACCCTTCTACAAAGCCTCTGGCCTGTGGAGAAGTCAACTCCTTTGATTCTTCAGCCAGAATTTCCGGCTCAAGACAGGACTGAACACCTGATGTGGTCATTGTTTACCTGTCTACCTATCCCAGGGATTATGTGTCACTCTTGGGGTATCCCTGTACTCTGTGCTGGCCTGGCACAAGGGAGGGGCTCAGGAAATATTTGTAGAATGAGTAAAGAAACCAGGATCGGGACTGTGGTACCAAGTAGGCCACCCCCATCTCCTTGATCGCTGACATCTTTTCCCGGGCTTGCTCTTAACAGGAGGGGCTCCGCATTCTCCATTGTCTGATCAAGTCAAGGGGTGGGGATGACCATGGCCGCCAGGCTGACTCACGAACCTCTCAGATTAGATGTGGGGCCTCTCAAGGTTAGGGGTCCATCACACCGCCACCGGAAGGGAGCAGGTTTGTGGTTCTGCAGCTGGGAGACAGGTGCAGAGCATGGGGTTGTAGACTGAGATCTGACCAAACCTTTGTAGATCCAGAGGTTGCCAAGAGCCTTTGATTTTCCTTCCTCCCTCCCAGCCTCACTTTCAAACACCAGCTGTGCTGTGCTAGATCTGGCAGTACCTTTTCACCACGCCCCCAGCCCCGCCTTTCCCCTAGAGCCCACCCAACCACAAGTCTTCAAAAATACCTTGGGGACCTGAGGTGGTCTCCAGGCCCTTCCCAAAACGCCGGCCTGGAAATTCATGAAGGGGTGCCATCGACCACCACCGTTCCCAAAGTCGATCCGGGTTTACACGGAAGCTCATCCGGGATTAGTCCCTGCTCTTGGCTAATCCCCGTGGCTGAATAGACCCCGGGGCCCAGGAGTGAGCCCACCGAGAGCTGGCCAGGGGCGAGGGGGTACGGGGCGGGGGGGGGCGGGCTAGCGAAAGCGCGCGGGGTGGAGGAGCGCCCCGAGGCGCGCCGGGCAAGGTGGGGCCTGGAACCGGCTGATCCGGTCTCTGTTCTCCGACCTCTGCGGAGCCAGTCAGTGTTTACCCCGGAGCCGGACAAAGGAGGCCCGGGACGCTTGAACCCGGAAGGGGGAGGGGAGCGCAGTCCCAGACCGCCGGGGAGACCTTTTCGGTCCCCTTCCCCGAAATCGACTTCTCACCCTTCTTCCTGAGCGTGGGAGGAGGCGGCAGACAGACAGATGTCTCCCGCCCCTTCTCCCATCTAGTTCCGCAGTTCATGCTCGTTGCCAAACGAGTGGGGAGTCATCAGCCAGGGAACGACAGAAGGGCCCCAGTCCCCCACCGGCAAGTCCGGGGAGGGCGCCCCGAGCAGCAGAGCAGAACAGCATAGCCCGGCCCAGAGACCCCTCCATCCGTGTTGACCTACTCCGCATTCCGTGCGCGCGGGGTGCCCGCTGCGGGCGGGGCCGCCAGGCTGTGCAGGCTTCACTTTAAGGCGGGCAGACTAGGGGTCTGTCCTCATTCCCCACCCTGCTCCGCGAAAGGGGCCCAGGAACCCCGGTGCGGGTCGGTCCCTCCTCTCCAAGACCTCCACCCCGGACTTAGCTCCGTTCTTCACGGGACGCAGCCCCGGGGGCCTGGAAGAAGCGCAGTGGGGTCCGGTTTTCACACTTTTATTGTAAAGCTCGGGGGATAATTACAGGGTCTTTCATTGACAGCTCAGCAAACAAACCGGAAACGAACCGAACCGGAGGGAGTGGGGGCGGTGCCTGCGCATGCTCGCGGCGGGGAGGTGGGGAGGTCAGGGAAAGAAAGACAGAAAGAGACAGAAATCATTACAAATCAACGGGATTGTGCTCGCAGCGCCAGGGGTGGGGATGGAGTGGGGGCGGGGCGGGGGCCCTTCCCGGGAGGAGCGAGGCGGTGGGAAGTGGCGAGAACCAAGAGAAACACGACCCCAAAAATGGGCACCCCACGCACCCAGACCCCCCCTCCCCAACCCTCCCCCCCCCGACACACGAGAGAGACACGGCCCCCCTCCCCACTCAGATAACCCGAGGAGACACAGTCTCCTCGTCCCCATGGGCAGGCACACCCGCCCTGGAACCCCATGGGCGAGATACAATCCCCACTCCCAGAGAAGTCCCGAGTGGAGACGCCTCCTAAGAGACTTTCTCATGGCCAACACAAGCCCTCCCAACACCCGGAGACAGTCCGCATCCAGGGAAGAAATGGCTCCAGAGGCCCTGCCCTCGGGAGAAGAGGTATCCCAGAGCCCCCTGGAGAGAAGACAACTCAGAGATGCCCAACCCCATCCAAAGTGCTGCCGAGCAGAGACACCCCCATAGGAGAGAAGGGGGGAGGGCTATAAGCATCCCTTCCCAGGTACTTCAGAGATTGCTCCCTTCCCTGGAAAGGGAGATGGCCCAAGACTGACTTGTCTTAAGTACTCCCAGGTACCCTGGGAGGAAAACAGGCTCCCCAAAGAGCCTGGGTAGGGAGGGGGAGACATGCTTCCATGGTCCCCAGTGGGAAAACATGTTCCCCACAGACTCCCAAAGGGAGGCATAGGGGCTAGGAAGCCCCCAGGTCAGGGGTGCCTAGAGACACCCCCCTCCATGTGAAGAGATGCTTCAAGGACCCTACGAGAGAACTATGTCCCCATATACCCTCCCCCTACCAAGAGACATGCTCTGCAGTAGGGGACTGGGGACCAAGTAGGTCCCCTCTAGGAAGACACTGACTGGGTCAGGCTGGGTTTAGGGGGTCTCCTCTGGCCAAATGTCGCCTATTGGTACATAAAACTGTACACGACACAAGGCATTGGGAGAGGTTTCACAGACCTAGGACCAACAGGAGTAGTCCCCAGTGCTGTCACCCATCCCCTGCCCACCTTTGGTTTCACCTCTTGAGTGCCCAGGTGGTGACAGACGCAGTGCCCTGACCCCAACCAGGGGGCCGGCTGGGTCTCTGCCTTGGTTGGTGGAAGGACTTCTGCTCTGTGCTTCTCAGTCCTCCCAGCCACCTGGACTATCCCCTTCCTTCTGGCTTCTCCATTGTGCAAATGCTCCTCTGCCCTTCCACTCAGTGCTTAAGAGTCTCCAAGGCCAAGGCGGGCACCCAGGTGATCAGAGGCTTCCAGGGGAGTCCACTGGCCCTAGGAATGCCTCTTGCCTGGGCCAACCTCTCCATCAAGCAAATGGGCCTCAAACAATCTTTTTGTCCCAATCCTGACCTCGGAGACTCAGGACAGCCCTAGAGGACACTGCCTCCCCAGCTGGGCACCTCATTCTACCAATTCCACTGCTATTGCACCTGCCCCGTTTGTGCAGGGGTAAGAGGCTGTCTCTTTAACAAGCCCCTGGCCCACCTTCTGGGCCTGCCCCAGGGAAAGGAGCCTTTGGCCAACCCCTAGACCTGGCTGCTGCCTCCCCAGCCCATTCTACCCATTGCCTTCCAGAGAAGGACTGTGGATGCTGGAGCTAACAGCCTCATGATGCTCTCCTTCCCAGCACTGTTACCCCAAACCAAATTAGGGCTAAAGGGTCAGAGAATAGGGTAAGTCTACAGCCCCCTGGCTTTTCTGGGGTGGGAGTGGGGTCTCTGGGGTTACAGGAGTCAAGACCCCAGCACACAGCTCCCAAAGGCACCAGACAACCCAGCAGCCTGCACCCACCCTCCCACACTTGGGCCATCCCTTCCCGCCCCCCTAGCTTAGACTAAGTCAAGCAAAGGCCATACCCTGAGTCTCCAGCCTCCCAGCCTGGGCCCCTGGAGAGCTGGAGAGGTATGGGCCAAGGCAGTGGGGGTTTCTGGAAGGAAGAGGGGCTGAGGCTTTAAGATGGCCACAGTGGGAAATGGGGGCTCTTCAGGACGCCCCTCACACCCTGGCCCCCTGAGGTGAAGAAGAGACCTTCACCTCATCATGGCTGACAGGGCTTCTCTGCCCCCCAATCTCCCCACCCCCTCCCCCATGGGACCCTGGCCTTGGCATAGGGAAGCCCAACTGGAAGAAGGGGGCCTGGAGCCCAGGGTGCCCTGAGGCAGCCCTTCCCACCCCCTGAGATCAAGGCAATGGTGGTTTTACAGGCTGAAGGGTCAGTCATGGCAGGGGCTGGGGGCAGAGAGGGGGCAGGGGGCAGGCCCTCCATATTGGAGGCAGCAACCAGCCACCCCCTGAGCAAACCTTCCTGCTCCCAACTCACCCAACCAGGCCAGAGGCACAGTCATCCCACCCCTGTCCAGCTGCCCCCCACAGCGTCAGGGCCCTTCTTGTGATGCTCATGTGGGTGTGGGAGGCCAGCCTGAGTGGAGATCCCCCCCACCCCAGGGCACAGCGCAACAGTTCCAAAAAAATAGAGATTTGTATTCTTAAAAAAAAAATTAAATAAAAGCCCAGCTCTGCTGATAGGCAAATGTTACCCCCACCCCCACCCTCAACCCCGTTGTTTCCCTGGCCTGCACCCCCATCCCACCACAACCCCAGGGGTATTTACAACATGGAACAATAGAGGCCTGGGGTGGGAGCATCACTGGGGCAGGGAGTAGGGGACACAGGGCAGGTTCCCCCCCCAGAGGGGTCCCCCAAGACAACACAACATCAACAAGTAAAGTTGCAAATCAGGCAGAAATGGGGACATCATTCCAAGGTCCTTATATACAGACACTGCATGACCAGAAGGGAAGGGGAGTGCCTAGATGGGACCAGGCTTGGGCATGTGGCAGGCAGGCGGGCCAGCCCAGAAGCAGTACTGGAAGACAAAGCCTCCATCATGTTCTCACCCCCATCCCCATCCCACCTTTGGTAACAAAAGCCCTTCAGGGCTCCCCTGGTGGTCAAGAGTTTCCTCTGGGAGTTTCCAAGGAGAGGGGCTCCCCAGTTCAGCCTTGGTTCATTCAGGACTGAAATGGGGCCTGTTATCCCCACCCTGGTCGGCCATGTGGGAAACATCGGTTGAAGTGTGCTGCTCACCCTTAATTCCACCATTTGCCCAATGTGAGGGGGTGCTCCCTGGAAGTCGATGGAGGGGAGCCCAGTCATTGCAGAGAAGCCCTCTTGGGCATCAGCTGGGAGGAGCCCCATGAAGGGGAAGAAGGGGCTCCTGGGAGCTGGGAGGTGGAATGGCAGGAGAGGACCTGGATCCTGCGTGAGGGAGGGGCCAGCGTGGGCAGGAGGCCAGTATTCCCCCCAACTTGGGGCCCTGGCCACGTAGTCCATGCTGGAGGGGTTGGAGGGTGGGGGCCCTGGAATGGGCCCAGCTGGGAGCTGGCCGGCAGCTTGGGGAGGGGTGGCCGCCGGCCAAAAGGGAGCTCACAGGTAGATCTCGCGCTTGGCCGTCTGGGCAGATGCCGGTGTGGCTGCGGGTGGGAAGTCCGAGGTCTGGGTCAGGGGGATTTCCTCCAAGGTGGCCGAGTCCTTGCAGGAGTCATGGCTACTGTGGGAGAAGGCACTGTAGGAGGGCAGGAGGCGCACGGGGGCCGTTTTGGTGTTCCGGTCTTCCGGGGGGCTCGGGCTGCCGGCGCCCGCAGGCTCCTGCCCTCCTCGGTCCTGGTAAGGCACGAAGGTGGAGAGTTTGAGGGCGCTGCTCTTGGTCCGGCGGCTGGGAGATGACTGGCCAGGCATCCAGCATGTGTCAGAGTGGCCAAACTCACTGCACTCCCGGGTACACGTGCCCGTCATGGCAACATCAGGCAAAGGGCGCAGGTCTGCCAAACAGCAAGGAGGATAGTCATCAGGCTGGGTAGCTTTGAACGGCTCTGCTCCACGGCCTCCCACTGGCATCCATGCCTTGCCTCAGAACAGAGGTGCGACACAACTCCTGCCACTGCGTTCACAGGCACACAGCACCTCAAATAGATACAGCCTCCCACTACCCACCTGCCTGCCCACCGCACACATTTACACCACACACACACACACCATCTTTAAATAAACTCCTTTCTTCCAGTGCTCTACTCACACTCCTACCAAATGTGCCCTCAGACAGGTGCACAAACACCACAAACACACAACATCACTACACTCCATCATCTGTCTCCAGACAGGCTTCAACATGCAATCTGCCCCAAGACAGGGTTGAGTGAGGAATTTCCCATCCTCATTAAGGACACAACTGTTGTGTTCTCTCTCTCTCTCTCTCTCATGCATACATATACACAGAGTTAAGTGATAGGCATGGACACACAAATTGACTCCACTGGACAATTCTGTTCTCAGACAAAGATGGGTATCTTTCTTCTAAAACCATCTCAAGCCTTACATGCTCCCAGCTGTCCTGCGATCCCACCCACCTCACACAGCCAAGCCTTGCTTTGAAGCCAGAGGGAGGGGATAAAGATCTATGTGGGGTGTTCATACACAAGCACACACTCGCACACCCACAAGCACGCTCATGCAGCCCCTGCCCACCTCACTCCAGCCCCTCACCAGCCACCACCCTTGGCCTTGTCCCGGCTCCCTGCCCAGAACACCCACGGGAACAGGAGTTGGCCGCCTGACATCAGCAGTAGCCGGTGTGGTTGCTGGGCAGCGGAGATCTCTATGGGAACGGCTGGGCCATGAGCACTTCCTGTCACAGCTGTCCCTGTCCCGCCCTCACTCAGGGACAGCACCAGGCAGTGACCCCCTCCTCAGGGACAGGACTGATCAGCACCGCCTAGGGCAGGGGCTCCCCTGGCACCACCCACCGTGGGTTGGCCTCCTGCCAGTGCAAGGTGAGGAGGGGCAGCTCTGTCATTAACCCTCAGAATGCCAAGGCTCTTTAGCTCAAGGCAGGATTGGGGGACCCAGTGTGGCACGGAGCACTGGGTGGGCGGGGCTGGGTGCTGGGCAGAGTCCCACAGACCCCAGACCCCAGAGCAGCTCCCACATACCTGGCACTCCGCCTCAGGGCCTGCTCCGGCCAGCCGGCTCTGCGCGGGCACAAAAAGGACGAGATGGGCATGAGATCAGGCATGGAGGGGCAGGGAGGGGACAGAGGGCATTCTGAGCCTAGGGCCTGGGAGATTACACAGGACCCTGTGACTGAAGGGTGGAAGAGTGGAGCTCTTCATCTGTTGAGGGGAGGGAAACTTCGCATAGAGAGACAGTATGAGACCCAAGGACAGCTCTACTTCGCAAAGAGAGACAGAATGAGACCCAAGGACAGCTCCAAGCTAGACAATCTTTCCAACCCAAAGGCTGGCCTATTTAGACTCCAAGGCCATCTTCAGGCCCGTACTCCACGCACACACATGCGCAGCACAGGCTCATTCTGACAGCACGCCTCACCATCCATTCTCACACTTACCTCTGCTCTGACCATCTCCCTCCAAACCTCTCTCACACCTCCCCCAACTCTTCTTCAGTCAGACCTTCTCCTAGTCTCTCCCAAGGGTCATCACATCATTCTCTGAGCTCCCCGTAGCATCAGGGGCCACTCTCTCTTCACAAGGCCCTTCCACCCTCTTTGGGGACCACCATCTACTTTCCAAAGTTTCCTTACCATTACCTGAGCCTCCTGGCCTCCGTTCTAAGGTCCCTGTTGCCAGGAAGGCAGTGTTAGGTAATATCATGTGTTAGGGCTCTGGAGTCGGAGAGATTTCGGTGTGAATCCCTCTCAGGTCTGTCACTTCCTAGATGTGTGATTTTGGGAAAGTGATTTAACCTCTCTGAGCCTCAGTTTCTTCCAGAGTAAAGTGGGCATGAAATGCTTTTCAGATAAGAGAGTGGTTGTGAGGAGTAATCCAATTACCTGGGAGCACAGCATGGTGGTTACTATTGAACACATAAGAACTCATAGATGGAGGATATTTTTAAGGTCTTGTCACCATTCCTGGACTTCTACTCATTCCCAGAGTACCTCACCATGCTGACATTCCTCACCATTCTCCGGGTGCTCCATCTCGCCTATGCTGCCATCGGGGGTAGTGCGTTCATAGTGATCCTCAGGTAGGGCCAGGGGACCAAGTCGGGGCCCTGAGGATGACTTGCTGGATGGTGTCTCAGACTCCTCCAGACCACTGTCATAGTAACTGTGCTGGGATGGGTCTTGCAGCTCCTGGGCCTGGCTGGTGGCTGAGAAGGTGACACGGCGGTGAGGTAACTGTGGGGAGAGAGAGAGACAGCGAGGGGGTAGGGTGGAGAAGAGAGGGTGGGAGGGAGAGAGGGAGAGAAAGAGAGAGAGAGAGAGAGTCACTGCGGGCTGGCCAGCATGCTTCATGAGGCCCAGTACCACACCAGGTCCCAGCCTCAGCAAGGCCCTCCCAGGCTTCAGCAGCAGCCAAGAAGAGGCCTTGCCCCCTAGCACAGCACAGGTCCCAGAAAGCACAGGCTCTATAGAGGACCATCCCTTAATTCTAAGATAGCGAAGTCCACACACTGAAAGTCCCAACACAGCACATGCCCCCATGTTATATTACAGCCCCCAGGCTCCCACGATAACCCTCATCCAGCATGGCCACTTGTTACAGCACAGCGCTTCTAGACCTGGCTCAGCTTCCCAACATGGCCATAGCTGCCCTTCAGTTTCAGAACAACCTTTAGAGTAGAGCCCAACAGCAGAAGAGCACAATGCTAGCCCACTCCTAAAGGCTAGCATGGCCTCTAAACACTAGCACAGCCTCCAACTTCTAAATAGCGCTATTTCTATAAGCAGTAGATGTCTACCTCCCAAACAGCTCTCACCAGAACACCAGAACAGTAGTCCCCTAGCATCCCCGCAGCACCCTTCCATACACTAGCTGCTCACCTGTCTCACTGATCTGTAACTTCACATCGCCTCCATCCATATGAGGTGCCAACCTCTCTCTCAGCCTGTTCCTCATCCCTGGTGTGCAATTGGAGGCAGCCTCAGGACTCTCGGCTGAGGCCCCTTCCCACCCTGTCTCTGCAGCCCCATTTCACTCCCATCCAAAGAGGCCTGGGAGTAGAACAGGGCAAAGGGAAGTAAGAGAAAGAGCCTGATCACAAGCCAGGGCATGAGAGGTAGGGGGCAGAAGTGGAAACTCACCAATGTTCCAGGTCAGGAAAGGGACTGCAGGGGACAGATCCCTATGAGGAGCCCCACTCGGGGAGGGCATAGCACCTATCAAGGACTGGGAAGGTTATCTTCAATGGAGACTCCCATCAGGAGATGTCAAGGAGCTTCTCTGAGGGGTTGCTGGCTTGATGGAGCCAGCCTTGGAGCTTAGACTCAGTGTTGGGGGTTGGAAGGGTAGAGTAGTGACAGGCTGATCCCAGCCAGCAGCACTGTTCGCTTGCCACAGGTTAATGATCAGCCCCAGAACCTGGCAACCTCAGCTTGGCACTTGGCACAGTCAGCCAGCCACCCAAACATCCACCTGGGACTGCCACTGGTTTTCCTGCCAACCAGAAATTAGGAATTGTAGAGGGTACAGACGCAGGGTCCCTGAAGGCCAGGGGGAGAGCAGCAACGCCCAGGCCCTGCTGGTAAGTCTCCAGGCTCTTCTAATCCTTTAAGACATTTGTACTTTTTCTTTTCTCTATAAGCGTCCATAACAGGTTATGAAGATGGCCAGGGACATGGTGCCAAGTTTGTAGACACATCCTCCCGATCCTCCTGCCCCCAATCTCCATCCTACTGCAGACAGCTGGAGTGAGGCAGCTGTCAGAGCAAAGAGTTCTGGAGCTGTTAGGAAGGCCCCAGAGCTCCCTCCCATCTCCAAGGACCCATGCTGTGATCCCAAACTGAAGGACCTGGGTGATCAGAGACAAGATCCCTAGACCTGCACATTTGGGGCTGGGAGTTATAATACAGCGTTCAGTTGGTATTGAGGTAAACAGGCTCCAGGAGAACTCTAAGAGGCTCAGGGCAGCGAGGCTGATGGTGCTTTCCCCAGTTTTCTTTCAACTCTGGCCAGCAGCCCTCCTTCCCTTCAGATCCAAGCCTGGTAACACAGGGCATTTACCAGTCCTCTCTCCCAGGCAAGTCCCGAGGACTCTATTCCTGATTCTTTTCTATGAAATAGAGGGTTGGGTTACACTTAACACTTACAGTTCCCTGTAATTCTGTGATTATCACATCTTAAAAGTTCAGATTCAAAATGTCTCTCATCCTTGTCCCAAAGTTCTGGGCCCTTGCAGAATATTTTTAACTGGCTGCCCTTGCGGATTCTTCACATTGAACCTGTCTGAAACTGAACTGTATTTTCCTTAATCAGCTATTCACAGGCTATGATCTCATCACTAGCCCATCACCCACATTCACATGGCTGATGTCTACCTGGGAGATCCTCCATCATTCTTTGTCTTCCTATGCTGTGTCCAGATGGCCCCTTCTGGCTAAGTTCAGCCATATCCATCTACCTATCATACCCACTGCCACTCTTAGTCCAAATCTTAGAGGCTCAATATTATACTTTAATCTCTACCGCCTTTTAACTCCACCCTACATTCCAGTGAACTTTAAACTCAGTTCATCTAGGAAACTCCCGAGCTTACAAGGCCTTCCATTTCCTGTTGAGGAACTTCCAGCAAAGCATCCTTGTCCTGTACAAGCTAAGTTCTTCCAATCACAGCTGCTCCTACACCCGCCGCTTCATGCAGAATACCTTTCTGCCTGTCCCTGTCCCCAGCACACCAAGGCCCACTCCTGCCTCAGGAGTCTGCCCACTTGGTGACTTGAGGCTGTCTATTGACTGCCCAAATCTTGCTTATCACTGACAAACTGGTTTTCAGCTCACATTCTCCTCCTAGCAGAAGACCATTTCCATGTCCTATGCAAATTTTCAGGCCACTCAAAGAAAGGAAGTCTTGGGAAAGTCAAGAATTATACAAGTTTACAGGTTCCCCTTTATTACAGGGCTGTGCAGAACCTTTAATCGGCCAACGTGATAGTGATTCTCCTAGTACCCAAACTTAATCATGCATTTTTAAAATAGCATAGTAGATAATGGCAGAGTCTGGAAATCTGATTTCCTGGTGCTTTGTGTTTAAATCCTGGCTCCATCATTAAGGTTTCACTTCTATCAAATGAGTAGTCAAATGATCTACAGCACAGAGTTATAAGCACTGAAGCAACAATTCACAGGAAGTACTTAGCATGGTACCTTGCACTTAGCATGACCTCAAGAAATAGAGTAACTATAAAAGTAGTCATGAAATTATTTGGGGAAAGCTTTACAATGGCAGTTCTCACTTGATAGTTGGCGTTTGTTTCACTTGTGTTTTGGACAAGTGTGACCATTTTTTTCATCAGTCTAATATGTTGAGCACATGGTAGGAACTTGACTTCTATATTCTGATGACAACAGGTGGAGTGGTTGATTATAACCAAAAGTTGGTGCAGCTCCATGGTATGTTAGGGTTGGATTGGACTGAAGTAAGGAACAGTCTTTCAGATCCTGTGAGTTGGGAGGTTGGGGAGAGGTGCAGGAGCACAAGAAGAATGGAATGGAAGCAAGAAGAAAAGGATGTACAGATAGAAATGGAAGAATGGGTTATTGGGAGTTGCTGGAGGTCACTCTACTGATACCTGATTTATCCAGAAAAAAATGAGATGTAACTAAATCTCACTTACCCATGTCCTACTCCTCCAAGATCCTGGGAGTTTTCACATTGGGGGTACATCAGGGCACTGGGGAGTTTGTGGATGAAATCAAGGAGAGTTGGCACCTCCTGGGAGTGTCTCAAGCCTCTTCAGTCACCATGGAGATGGGTTGCCTCTGGCCTCTGAGACTCCCACAAGATCTGAGGCCCCTCACCCATACTTTAGCCTCCCCTAGGCACAACCAGAGACAAGGCAGACCCAGGAGAGCAAGAAGTGAGAGACGGAGAGAGAGAGAGTGAGAACCAGCAGCCCAAGATGGCTAGAAAAAGGAGCATAAGCAAGGGGGGAAAGGTGGCCTCATGTGTAAGAGGCAGACCAAGAATTCTCAACCTCTCAGAAAGAACTCAAGAGTGGGGGTGCAGAGCAGGTCACTGAAAAGTGCAGGAAGTCTCATGTCTCTCTGGGCTCTCCTTCCTGCAGCCCAGGGTAGTGATCATGGTGGGGAGATAAAGGGCAGGGCTCATTAATTGCTGGCTGTTGAATATTGTTTCCGTGAAGAGCTGGGAAAGGGACTTGGGGGAAGATCTTGCCCTGAGGGAAGGTGGCTGGTGTAATCAGCAGGCTTTCTGGCTTCACCTGAGGCCAGCAGGCAGGCTGATTGTCACCACACAGGGATGCCCTGGTGTGAGGCCTGTCAGAGGCGACTCCATGGACAGGCTGGAACAATAAAAGTCTTGAACTTTGGAAACTGGAAGGTTGAGTGCATCTCTATCAGCTCTTTCTTGGTCATTCCTAGGGAGAAGGTCTCATGAACATGGAACGAGAATTCGCTAAAGATGCCTCCTGGTCTGGAAGGCACTTTCCTCAAACATGGGAAATGGGTGTGGGGGTGAAGAGGAAAATAGTTGGCTAAAATAGGCTGGGACTAGAGTTGGGTGGGGGAGTCTAAGGGGGCTAAGGGTAAAGATTAGGAAAAGGAAACCTAGATCTTTAGGTGAGGACAAACGGCTGCTTCCAGTCTCTCTCACTTCTTCTCTCAGTTCCAGAAAAATAAGAAACCAAAACTCCAAAAATAGAGAACTTTATTATCAGGGACACGTGATAAGGCTGGGATTGTCGGGGGAGGAAGGGGGGCAGTTGGGGACCCAGCCCCAGGAGCCTGGGCATGAGTAAGAGGTTAATACACAGTATACACAGAAGGCACAAAGTGGAGAGGTTATCACTCCCCCAGCAGATTCCCAACCCAGCTGCCCACCAGGACCTCAGGTTGCCTGTTTCCCTCCAGAGAAGCACCTATGGCTGGTCTCAGAGACCCAGGTTTAGATTAAACCTGTTTCCACTTTCCTTGCTCTCTCAGACTCTAGCTTTAAACCTTTCTGCTCACCTGACCTTCAACTTCCTACCCACAAAAACTGTAGCTTGTCTAGCATGCCAAATCTGAAAATCACAGGCCTCTCCCTAATAGGGAGGGGACAGGGAGGAGAACACAGAACACCCTCCCTCAGTTTCCACTCAGCCTAACCCCTCGTGCCTGCGCTAGGCAGCAGGGTTCTTCTTACCAGGGCTTCCACAACCCCCGATCAATGGTCCCACCTCCCACTGCTAACTCTGGTTGGCCCCCATGTGATCTGGTAAGGCAGGCATGCTACAACTGCTCCATCATTCCCACACCTCGGTCCAGATGGCACCGTGGTAAGGATGGGGCGGGGGCTGTGGTGTGCTAAGCCGAAAGGGCTGGCCTACCTGCTTGCTGGGGTATTTGGGGGGGTTGGTACGGTAGCTGTAGTCGGAGTACTGTTCAGAGCCTGTGGATGTGGTGTCCCCAGTGCCCACAAATGTGTTTGCAGGCGGCAGGTCCTGCACCACCTGGTGCTTCTTGGAGGCCGAGGGTGACTGGGGCTGCAGCTGGATGGAAGGCAGTGGGGAGTTAGAACGATAGTGGCGGCCCAGGTCAGGGCTGCCTGGTGGGTAGTTGAGGGGTAGGTGGATGCGAGGACTGTCCCCTGGGGCATCGCTCATCAGGTTGAACTTGAGAGACTTCTGCAGCCCAGCTTCATCTTCATCCTCCACTGGTTTCACAGGCTTTGGGGACTTACTCTTCTTGCCTTTGCTTTTGTTTCCTTTTGAGGCTTTGCCACTGGGCTTGGGGGCATACAGGTCCTTGGTTTCCTTCTTACCAGCCTGGTAGCCACTCTTGGCCTCCCGCTGCCGGCAGTAGCGCACAAGCACTGCCAAGGCGATGAGCAAAGCCACAGCCACAACACCTGCCACGACACCAAAGAGGATGTTGCCACGCTGCTTGGAGCGCTCATACTCTGGATCTCCAGCAATGTCAATATCCAGTGGCGTGTCCATGCTATGGCCAAGTAGGGTCTCCAATAGTGTGCGGTTGGCTAGGGTCTCATTGACATAAAGGTGAACCAGAGCTGTGCCATAGCGTGGGGGCTTGCCTCGGTCACTGACCTTCACCACAAGACGGTGTAGCCCATGGTGGCGCCGCTCAATCTCTTTCTCTAGGGTGATGGCACCTGAGTGGGGCCCAATCTGGAAGAGTCCATAAGGGTTGCCGCCAGCGATGCTGTACGTTAGCTCAGCATTGACACCAGAGTCCATGTCCTCAGCTGTCACTTGGCTGACTGTCTCACCAAGACGGGTCTGTGGGGTCAGCAGCCGGTGAGAAGTGTTGGAGGGGGCAGTGATAAAGGGGGCGTTGTCATTCTCATCGAGCACATTGATGGTGACTCCAACGTAAGCTGAGCGAGGTGGAACACCACCATCCACTGCCTTCAGCTGGAAGGTGTAGGTGCTCTGTTGCTCTCGATCAAAGCTCAGGCTGGACAAGATAGTGCCTGTGCCATTCTGGATCACAAAGTCACCATTGTCCTGTTCCACTGAGAGCTGTACACGAGCATTTTCCCCCTTGTCCCCGTCAATGACAGTCACCATGCCCACTGGACTCAGTGCCGGCATGTTCTCCATCACTGAGAAATTGTAGCCACTCAGCATAAATTTGGGGTCATTGTCATTGCAGTCCAGCACATTGACAAGGACAGTGGCTGTGCCCTGGAGACTGGGGCTGCCCCGGTCAGCTGCTACCACCTTTAGCTCATAGCTGTCTCTCTGTTCTCGATCAAGGGATGTCTTCACCCTGATCTCTCCATTCTCAGGTGAAATGGTAAACAGACCCTGGGCAGCCGGCTCAGGCTCCAGAGAGTAAACCAGCTCTGCATTAGAACCCGAGTCAGCATCACTGGCAGTGACCTCGGCCACCACTTCACCAGGCTTGTTGTTTTCTGGGAAAGCAACTTCAGTCACACTCTGGGTGAAGACAGGAGCATTGTCATTGACATCGACTACCTGCACCTTAAGGGAATTGGTGCTGGAGAGTGGGGGGTTGCCAGAATCCACAGCCACAATCTCAATGGTGTAGTCTCTGACCTTCTCATAGTCCAGTGGGGTAGTAGTCTGCAGGAAGTACTTCTTCTTGCTGTCACTGCCCGTCTCACTGGCCTGCCGGAGCTGGAAAGGCACATCACCTGCTACCACACAGGTGACAGCTGCGTTCTCTCCCTCATCTCGATCAGATACCTGCACCAGAGCCACAGCTGTCTCCTCTGCCACGTCCTCTGAGATGTTAGCCATACCATCTTGATGGGTCACCAGCCCTATGCCTCGGATCTCAATGGTGGGGGCATTGTCATTCATGTCTTTCACAGTCACTACCACCTGGGCCCGAGCACTCTTGGGGTTGGCGCCTCGGTCCTTGGCAAGCACTGAGAAGCGCAGGGTACTAAGGTCTTCACGGTCCACAGGACCCTGAACAGTGATGAGTCCAGTGTTTCTGTCTAGTCTCAGGAGACGCCTCACAACTTCAGGCGCCTGGTGGAACGTGTAGTCAATCTCTGCATTGGCACCTTGGTCTGAGTCATTGGCCTTCACCTATAGAGTAGGAGCAAAGCACAAGGAAAACAGCAATGGTTAGGCCCAGGATGGCAAATGACAAACACTTGTACTGCCAGTGTTCTTTCCAGTGAGCAGGGCAAACACAATGCATCTAACCTAGTGCCCTTTCCAAATCAGCACATGTAATGCCCTTTCCCCAGTCCTGACACTCTGGCAGACTTTACTGACCTATTTTCCTGAAGAGCCCAGATGCAACCTATAAGTCCTTCTCAGTCCCACAGGCAACTACTAGAGACAGGACAGGGAAGAATTAAACTCCACTTGTCATTTATTTCTTATTTATTTATTTATTTTTTGCCGGTCACGGGGCTTGAACTCAGGGCCTAGATGCTATCCCTGATCTTTTTCTTTTTTTGTTCAAGGCTATTGCTCTACCATTTGAGCCACAGCTCAACTTTCAGCTTTTTGGTGGTTAATTGGAAGGTCAGAGTTGCACAAACTTTCCTGCCTGGGCTGGCTTTGAACCGTGATCCTCAGATCTCCCAGGGTAGCTAGGATTACAGGTATAGGTTACTGGCATCCAGCTCTACTCCTCATTTTTTAACTGGTCCTCCCAAATGTGGACATAAAGATCGAATAAACCACCATGGAAACCCTTTCATGAAATTAAGTCATCCCCCAACCTTCTAAAGAGACGAAATGGTGCATTAATAGGGAAGTGTGCATGCACGCACTTACAAACATACCATGTGTGCAGGCACGCATCACACACGTCTGACTATGCAGGCTGTGTGACAGATAGCTGTGAGAAGATGCATGTTTGTGTATAAGTATTTGCATGCATGAGTGAAGACTCCTGTGCCCACCTGGAGGCCACAGGTAAGGGTTTTTCTATTGAAAGCAGCCAGGTAGGGATGTGGGTCAGAAGGAGCCCATCAGGCCTGGTTCAGCCACTGTCCTAGCCACTGTTTTTCCACCCAGCCACTGCTCTGTCAAACCGGGGAAACCTGTTTCAGAAGCTCCTTGACTGCTGGCAGGCGCTGGCAAGACACCAGTGTCAGGAATCCGGCCTGAGCCTGCGGCCAGGAGGGAGGGGTTGGTGTTGGCCACAGAGCTTGCTGGCAGCAGACTGGGCTCCCAGCATCAAACAATGAACTGTCTGTCCCTTTGCAGTGGGCACGCCCTCCCACGCCAGCCGACGCTTACTGGGCCCAAGTCTATACAAACATGGATAGTAATGGAGCAACAGGAACCAGGTGGGAATGGCCATGAGGGACCACTGGTCAGGAAGACAAACACTACAATTAGTTCATAACCAGACAGACTGTGATGGTAGAATGGGTAGGGGTGAAGGTGGGGGACAGACAAACTTGGCAGAATCTGTGGGGAGCAAAAAGAGCTCAGGGACAGCATCCAGGCCCCAAGTTCAAGTCCCATGTCCGACAAAAAAAAAGTCTTGGGTTCAAATTTCAGCTGAACCACTTCCCAAATTCGAATGTGACCTTGAGCTAATTATTTAACCTCCTCAAGTCTCAGTCTACAAACATATAAAATGAGGATTAATAAAATAACTTTCCACAGAACTGCAGTAAGGACTAAATGGATATTACATAAAAATTCCTAACATTGTCTGGCACATGCAAAATGCCCCTTTGTTTTTTGTGTGTGTCTGTCATCCATCCATCCCCGTCTCCGGAAAATCAGCCAACACAGCTAACACAGTGCTGGGGTCTGCACCTAGTAGGCCCCTAACTCAGCGCTAGTCTTCTCTTCTTCCCCTTAGGAAGGAAACTCCAACTATACCTTCTAGGGCTTTTTCTAGATGAGACTCCTGAGCTACCATGGTGTTCATTCACATCTGTGGGAGCTAAATACTAACAGCTTCTCCAAGTCCTGACCCAAGCCTATTTGTTAAACCAGACATATGGTTATGCTCCTACCATTTCCTGTCTCTGGACTGGGTACTCAGATTCTTATCTGCCTCTTGTCATATGTCTTTATCTCTGTCTATGACTCTTGTCTTCTGTCTGTCTCACATCTCTGTTCAATTCTGACTCTGCCTCTATTCTCATATTCCTTCCTCATGCCTTTAAGCCTCAGCCCATTCTCTGACCTGCTTTCCTGTATATCTTCCTGGGAGGAGGTAAAGCCATTCCACACATAGGCTGTGGAGTCAGACTGATATCAACTGTGATCTTATACAAGTTTCTTAATTCCTAGGGGCTCAGCTCCTCATCAGTAAGATGGGTATAATGCTTACTTATACTCCAAGGATTAAATGATATACACTACATAGTGCGTTTAGAACAGTGTCCAGGACCGAGACTATTATTATTTGCTATCTTGACTGTCTTCCTTTTCTTTCTCAGCCACATTTCCAGATTCCAGTCTGCTATTTAGCCTAACAAGGTAGAAACTCCCACCCACCCAATTCAGCTCCAGGACTTAGGGCAAAGGGTCTTCCAGGATGGGTAACGGTATCCAGGGCAGCTAAGCCCTCCTAGCTCCCTCCCACCACAGCTTCAGCCCATGGGGAAGGAGAAAGGAGCTGGGGCTGGCAGGAGGCCAGGCAGAGATGACAGTGGGAGATACACCCACCTGTCTGTGGGGACGCTTTCTTTGCTCCCTCCCAGGCCCTAGCCCCACCAAGCCACCCAGCCCCTGAGGCAGTTCCCATGGAGAGGGGTGTTGAGAACTTCCACAAAGCTTACTGACTGACCCTTTCTTCCCCCATGAGTGTCCCATGCCCAGGGGAAGAGGCAGGTATAAAAACAGCCCCTTGTGGCTTGTCAAAACTCTGAGGATCCCCTTGGCTAAAATGATCTCATCTGATTTTGTTGAGGAGCAAGGCTATGGCCCCAGCTTCAAGAAAATACAATGTGGCTAAAGGGAACCTTGCCTTGCTTAAGAAAAATTCCACCATCTCAGGAGAGAATCAACAGGATCAAAGGTGATCTATTCCATCTCAGCTCCCCTGGTCTAAAAAGAAGGTCTTTTTGAAACTGGAGGGAGTTTCTGTCAAGAGCATTCCCTAACTGGAGTCTGCCTGTGGTGGTGGTGGGGAGCAATTAAGAGGGGGTATTATTCCAATGTTATCACTGTCACCTAAGAAGCTTAACAGAGGAAGATAATATCACCAGTCCTAGTGGGGGAAAGGAGGTTGGTGGGAAGGACTATCCTAGGGGAAGGAGAGAACTCTCACCAGACTCAAGAAGACTCCTCTTTCTTTCTTTCTTTTTTTTTTTTGTTGCAGGTTCTGGGGCTTCAATTCAGGGCCTGGGCACTGTCCCTGGGCCTCTTTGTGCTCAAGGCTAGCACTCTACCACTTGAGCCACAACACCATTTTTCTGGCTTTTTTTTTTTTTTAGTAGTTTATTGGCGATAAAGAGTCTCGGGGGACTTTTCTGCCTGGGCTGGCTTCTAACGACAATCCTCAGATCTCAGCCTCCTGAGTAACTAGGATTACAGGTGTGAGCCACTGGCACCCAGCTAGGGTTCCTATTTCTAAAGGTGGGTCCTTTGATAATTTACACGGAGGGGTCTCTCACCTGGATGACCGAGTGGCCGATGGGGCTATTCTCAGACAGCTCAGCCTCATAGGAGGGCCGCTCGAACTTGGGAGCGTTGTCGTTGGTATCAAGCACAGTGACACGCAGCAGGGCACTGCTGGCACGTGGGGGGCTGCCTCCATCCTGCACCTTGATGGTGAGATCGTAGGAGTCCCAACGCTCACGATCCAGGTTCCCCATCACAATGAGCTGTGGCTGCTTCTCCTCCTGGTCCTCAGCCACCTGCAGCCCAAATAGCTCCTGGGCCTCAGGCCCAGCCTGTAACTCATAGGAAGCCACACCATTGGGGCCAGCATCACGATCTGAAGCCAGTGGGATGGGGAAGAGGGAGCCAATGTTGGTGTTCTCAGGGATGGCCAGAGTGATGACAGGTGAGGCGAAGTTCGGAGTGTTATCGTTGATGTCTTGCACCTCTATCTGGCCCTCCAGCAGCCGGGGGCTGCCATTCTGCACAAGGTCTGTGATAGACACCTCAAATTCCAGGATGCAGGGTTCACCAGGGAGCTGGTTCTGGCATTCACGAAGCCCCTCACGGTCAATGGAGGTCTCTGTGGTGAAGATGTCACCCGTCTTGCCATCAACTCGAAGGTATGGAGCACCTACCTCTAGTTTGTACAGATGGCCCACATCTGGAAAGCCATAGTCAGCTGCGAGGCTTCCAATGAGAGTGTTAGGTGGCTGTTCTTCTGGCACCTTGTACACTACCCGAGTGGCATGGCCTGCAGATGGAGCTGACAGGAGCAGCAATGCCAGCAGCAAGAGGGGCAGCAACAACTGTTGCCCCCCAGGGCCCGAGTTGGGCCTCAGGGGCCCCATCCTGGCAGGCTCCAGAATCAGGAGAACTATAAGAAAAAGCAAAACAGATGCTATCAGTTAGGAAGAGGAAGTTGACCCTGAGACACTGAGGACTACCCAGAGCAACCCCTCCTCCCCTTTTCCCACCTACACACTATTTCCCCATAAGAAAAGTCAATACCACCTCAGAAACCTGATTCCAGAACCCAGAACCCCAAGTCTCACCCTCAGTGGGTGTAACAGCTGTGTCTGGCCCAGCTGGAGGAGCTGGTAAGAGGCCCGGCAGGTCTAGAGCAGTTCCTGCCCATGGAACGCCCTTATCCACCTGACGTTCTTTGGGTACCAGCCCTCCCTCCCTCCTTTTCTTTCCCTCCCTGTTCTCAGCTCTGTGCTTTGCACAACACCTCCTTCTCACCAGCATCCTGCCTTAGTCACCCATGGTAATTACCCTGATACTGAGATAGGGAGAGAGAGAGAGAGAGAGAAGTAAAAGGGTTAGGCCTTGGACACCTTTATTTGAAGCGTCTCCCCCAACATCTGTAGGAGAAAAGTATGCCCCCTAGACACCCCAGACCCTGTGGTCATTACTGACCACACTGGAATGAGAGAGCAAGAGTCTCTCATTTCTCTTTCTTTTTACAATGTCACATCAATGTACATGTATGAGATAGGGTATCTCAAATTCACCTTTTCTGATAATAATCACCCATAGGGCCAATGTCCTCCACCTCTAAGAACAGTCTGAATTGGATAACAACCAAGGTAGCTTGGATCGGACACCAATTAAAGCTTGTAAAAACAGCGAGCACTGAGGCGTTTTTCTCCAACTCCCTTCCCACAAACATGCACACTGTGCTCAAGGATTGATTGTTCCTAGGGCTCTTCTCCTCTGCTTATTGCTATGAGCAAAATGCATAAAAGAAGAGAACTGAGGTCAAGAGTGGGGTCAGGACTGTGGTCAGGACTGACTGGCCCTCAAATTGCTATTGGGAGCTGCCCTGGCCTGTCCTTAGAAATTGGGAGCCCAGCAGGTCTAACTGGGACAAAGCTGTGATGACACCATCAGCTTTCCTCCATCTCCACTCACACACTATGTGGACTGTACAGATGATCATCTGGCTTCTGGTTGTTTTTTTTTGGGGGGGGGGATAGGGTTTTCTTGGTTATTTTCCAGGGCTGGGGATGGAATCTAGGGTCCTACATACACTTAGCAGGCAAGCTGTCTACCACTGAGCTAGATCTCTAACCCTTGATTTTTTTGAGACAGGGTCTTGCTATGGAGCTCAGTCTGGTTTTGAACTTTCAACCTTCTACATGCACCGCCAAACCCTTTCTAGCTTCTATTTGACCTTTATCCTCTACATTTAGGTCCTACGGTATATTCCTACTCCCCCTCCCTAACCGGTCCTGTCCTATCTCACACCTGTCCCTCCTTGCCCTCCTCCAGATCCTTCTAGCTAGTTATAAATGCCCAGCCAACCACAACTGCGCCTCCACTACAATAACCCTATTCTATCACCCAATACCCCAACACCCCCGCCCCCAGACTTTGTGGCTGTCCACTTAAGCCAGACCTGACAGCTATCTATCCAGTCTTAACTGTCCCTTCTTCTGTTCAAATCCAAAATCTCCAACCCAGCATTTTCTTTGGAGGGTTCAAGCTCCTACTTTTCTCACTCCCGGAATTTCCACCCCAGGCCTGCCACTTACCACACCCATCCCACAGAAGGCACGTTGCAGCCACCCCATGATTCCTTCTCACAGTAACCTCTCCTTCTTCTAACTCACAGCCACTTATTGTCTTTTCCAATCTTAAGGCAATGAATCACTGGGTGGCCTGGGATAACACCTGCCCTGTTATTTATTCAACTGGTGTTGTACACCTATTCCAATGTCCTCCATCTCTACACAAATCCTAAACATCCTGAAGGAAGGGACACAACTCTGTATATTCATTCAACTTCTTACCTACATAAGTGCAGTTTGGTAAAGCTGGACACACAGAAGAAATAGGTGCTCATGTATGAATTTAACTAAACTCTTGTAATATGTCAGACTCTAGCCTAGGTACCAGGAATAGATGCCTAGTAACTTAGGCCTCCAGCAGTAAAGACAGGCCCAGTCTGCCATGACAATTCTAGCTCAATGGTTGTGTAAATTCTGTTGAGTTGCCTCTGTGTACCCATTTGACATTCCTAAGGCAAAAGCATGAAGGACCTGGGCTATGGCACTAGACAGCCTGAGGCAAACCCCAGCGGCCCAATCCCAGGCCATCTAACTTAGAACAAATGATTTAGTACCTCAGTTTCCTTCTCTGTCAAATACAGTTAACCATATCCTAGTGGGTTTGCAGGTTAAATATCTAAAAAAATGTCAGCACTCAACAAATGCTTCAAAGCACTTAAGCACAGGGCTAGAGATATAGTACAACAGTAGAGCCCCTGCCTGGCAAGCCAATGCCTTGAGTTCAAACACCAGTAATGCCAATTAAATATCAGGGACCTTCCTGGGGTAAAATGTAAGCCTTCTCCACTTAGGGCACAGAATAGACCTCAGAAAATGCTCAATGAATGTACAGATTCTCTACACAAGTCAAATGCTTTACTTCCTTTTGGGAGCCTTCCTCAAGTACAGGTCCCTCCTCAATACGTGTGAAGCCCTTATCAGATTAGTATTTGTGTTTATTCTCAGCTGCAACCTTAATCTCTTTAAAGGAAGGACTAATTTATCTGGTGCCTTACATAGATCCACCTTACAACTACCTCCCCCTCTACCTGCATGGACCTGGCACAGGGTTCATTCTTTTGTGTGTATTTGCAGGTCCTGGCCACTGTCCTGAGCTTTTGTGCTCAAGGCTAGTGCTCTACTATTTGAACCACAGCTCCACTTCCAGTCCTTTTTTTCAGGTGTGTGTGTGTGTATGTGTGTGTGTTTTGGGTCCGGTCATGGGGCCTGAACTCTGGGCCTGGACGCTGTCTCTCAGCTCTTCAGCTCAAGGTTAGCGCTCTACCACTTGAGCCACAGTGCCACTTCTGGCTTTTTTCTTTTTGCTTATGTGGTGCTGAGGAATCAAACCCAGGGCCTCAGGCATGCAAGGCAAGCGCTCTACCACTGAGCCACCTTCCCAGCCCCACGTGTGTGTGTTAAATAGATTGACTTCCCTGCCTGGGCTGGTTTAGAACTGAGATCCTCAACTCTCAGCCTTCTGAGTAGCTGGGATTATAGGCATGAGCCACGACATGTGACACAGGGCTAATCTTTAAGACCCAATCCAACCACATCCCCAAGGTACTTCATTCCCTTCTGGGTACTTTTACTCCTCTGCCCTCACCCTGGCACCCTGATTCTCTATGTAAGTATAAGCAGGCTAGTGGCTACATGGGAAGCCTGTGGGGATTACCCTAAACCCAGCAAAGCCACTCACTTCTAGCCCCCATCTCCAGACCAAGAATAGTTAACTTTTTGTGGTTATATTCCTCTTTAAGAATCTTATTAGAACATTATGCAGAGTTTTCCAAGAAAAAGTTCACTCAGAAATTTGGCTATAGATTTAGGGGTCCATAGCCTAGCATAGTCAGGGTAACTCTGATTTGTGTCTATTCTAAGAGATATAGATTGAGCTGCTATCTTGGGGCTTTCTCCCCATCTAAGGTCACAATCTGAGACTTCAGAACTCTGAGCCAGTGCCCTGGCCCCTTTAAGAAATCTCTTACCTCCAGCCAAGAGTCATGGAAGAATTACAGTATTCTGTTTGAGTATGAAGAACTACAGAGTAAAATCCAAGGCTAGGAAGATGTAGGGGGAGGGAGATTCCTGAGAAGTAGAAAGAGTGAGGAAAATGGGGCTGGAGGGAGGGTTGTCTAGAGTTGGGGGTACCGGTTGAGGAAGGTTTAAGCCTTAGAAGCACCTTCAATATTAAGGATTATCTGGCCCCACCCTTAGGAATTTTGATTGGAAGGTGGAATCTGGAGAACACCTCAAGGCAACTGTGATATAAAAGACCCAGAAAGCCTGGGAACAAGGTTGACCTATACTAGGACTACCAGAGTTCAGAAAAAGCCCGAGGTCCTGCAAACCAAATCATCATCATCTTTTCCACGGACATCACTCAGCACCACCATTATCCCAGTGAACACTAAGGTTTTACTAACATATTGCTAAAGGAAGGTGCATGAAACCTCATTGAATCCTTCCAACCCTCCAAAAGGGATATATTTATTATTACAGCTTCTCTCCCATATTACAGATGATCAAATTGAGATTCAAAAATACATTAATCATCTTAGGTAGCAGAAGTAATATGAGAAAGAGCTAGGATGTAAGAAATAGAGTACCTCTTGGAATCCTAGGATCTGGGGAAAAGGCTGGGTTGGCAAAGTGAATCAACAGAAATTCGCAAGCCTGTAATATGATGTTTGTTATGGGCTTCCAGGAGGGAAAGCAGAGGGTTTAGGGTTCCAGGACAGAATCCAGGCTCTGTTGCAGCTCACCTGGAGGCACACGGGGTCACGTGGCCAGGAAGAGCATGTGGTTAGAGTCATGTGGCCAGGAAGGGCAATAAGTGGCCTCATCATCTCTACCCCCACCAGTTTTGAACTTTGTCCCCAGCAGTTGGTACAGAGAGTCATTAGGCTAAGGCGGCAGCCTTTGAAGCCATTAAGGCCTTATCAGCCCTGTCAAGGCCTGCTGCCTTGCTGGGCAAGGGTGCCCAGACCCTGAGAAAATAGAACCTAAGCAAGTGACCCATCTTTCTCAGGACTGAAGCAGAAGATTCATTAAGGACAAGAGTCCAAGAAGTTCAAGGAAACCACATCTGTGTAACATCTAAGCAGAAATGAGGACAGGTGAGTTCACTCAGAATCTTCAATTCCAGACCAACTGGTGGTCCAAGGTTCACTTCCTGCTGAGTACTATGAGAGCTATCACTGCCCTAGTGACCAGGTCAGCTCTGAGCCCCTGTCCACACTCCAGGACTATTATACAACAGTCACTGCTGCTGCAGGCAGAAAATACCAAGGGACAAAGGGACCATCTGAGAGCCTGGGAACAAGTGGGGCTGCGTGGGGTGGAGCTGTTCAGAGGCCTCCCACAGTGAGCAACCCTCAGTTCCTCTCCCAGATCTTTCACAACCCTCTATTAGCCTCTGCAAGCTTCTGGGCACCTGCATTCTTGAGCCAGATTGTTGGATTTGAACCCTATGCTCCACCATTTCCTAGATGTGTGTGTGTGTGTGTGTGTGTGTGTGACCTTACCCACATGAAGTCACTTTTCTGAACCTATTTTATATTATGAAATGGAAATAGTTCTGCCCCTTGAAGTTATTTGGGAGGATTAAAAACAATCCAATGATTAAATAAAACGTTATATTGTGAAGAACACATGTGAAAATAAACCAACCCCGCACTGGGCACACAATAGGTGCTTGCCGGTTCAGTGACTATATGAAGCAATGCCCTGCAGCTGGCAAAGTCTATGAAAGCAAATGATATATATTTTACTACTGCACCTTCACCATTCACCATAGACCCTGACAGAAGTTAAACAGAATCCCTGTTTGAAGCACTGAACTCTCTTTGCTCATAATATGGACAGCTTTCACCCCTACATTAAAGGGTCGCCCTCTTAGTTATCTGGCACCCAATTCTTTCCAGCAGTGCTCACTGACTCTTGCCCACCTCGGGGCTGAAGTAACCACAGCAAGCTTCTCTTCTGCGACGAAGAAGCCAGACCAGCAAGACGCCCCTTTTCCAGCTGAAGTCCCTTCTGAGTTGGGAATTGGGGGTGTGAGGAGAAAGAGGGAAAAGTAAATGTTGCTGGACTAGAACGCAGGCCTGTTCCCCGACCAGCCTGCCTCTGGTGGGGGCTGCTCCTTGCGCTTCTCTCCTGGATTCCACTACCTGTCATAGTCGATTATACACCTCAATCCCCTCAGAGACCCCTGTAACAAAAAAAGTAGTACCTGCCCCCATACCCCCTCGACCAATGGCACCTTCAGGGCTGCCCCTTTCCTGGTAGCTCCCGAGGGACTGACCCACAGCAGGTACTAGAAGGAGCCTGGCGTCTTCCAATATGAAGTCCCGGGCTTCGCCGGCATGAGCAGCCCGGGAACTCACGGCCTCGGTCAGCTGGCGCTCCCTGCACACACCCAGCGCGCCGAGCGTGCGTCTCCTCCCGGAGGATGCCCAATGTGGTGGGGGGCGGCGGCGCTCCCCGGGTTCGGGTGGCCCCACCCCCACCCTGGCGGCGCCTGGCCTCCCCAGCCCAGGGCGAGGCTACGTACGCTAGGGCGCTGATCGCGCCTAGGCCAGCCGGCCACTTGCGTCCCTCGCCTCCGGGGTCGCCGCGGGGAATCCCTCTCTCTAGCGATCGCTGGCCTCGGCCTAGGGTCCCCCCCACCATCCCCACCCCCCTCCACAAGCCGGCGCCGGCGCGGAGCGGCGCAGCGGGCGCCGGGGAAGGGGGTGGGGAGGAAACGGGCGCCGGAATCACAAAGCCGAGAGAGCCTGGCCGGGCGGGGACATTCCCAAGAAACCCGTCCTCTCTCAGCGGGAGTGGGGGAGAAGGGGGACCGGCCCCGCACTCAGCATAGGCCTCGCCCCCAATCTTTCTGCCAGATGGTATAATCGCCGAGCACCACTGGGGAAACTGAGGCCAGAAGTCGGAGCTACTGGAGGGTAGCCGGGGTGAGGAAAGGGTACGAGTCCATCTCACCAACAAATTTTGCTGCGGCACTGGCTGCGACCTCCCTTCTAGCCCCAGGGCCTAGCCCACTCACACGACTGGCCTGAAGGGGGACTGGTGGAGGGGGAGGTGGTGCCCAGGTGTGCTGGATCCAGGTGTACTGGTACCCAGGTGGCTCCTGTAATTCAGTTGGATGGCCTGAAAGGGGGGGGGGGAGGTCGCAAACACCGCCCCAGGGTTGTACCTCAGGCTCCGGAGCCCCAGGCAGGCAGTTCGGCGCGGCCTGCCCGGTCCGGCTAGTTCCGGGAACACACTGCTGGTCCGGCCTTGGAGTGGAGGTGGGGGAGGTGCCCGCAGGAAGCCGGTCGGTCCGGCCCTCGGGTTCCCGCTGTGCCCATATTTACCATAACAATGTCCCAATTACCGAGACTGGGCTCTTCGGGGCTAGCGAGGAGGCCCCCCTCGGGCTACTCCCAGCCCAATCTCTCCTCCCAGGGAGAGGGGCCGAGTGTGTTGGTGTGCACGCGCCGCGGCAGGGTGTAAAGTGACACGGTCGGTGTAAGGTGTGTGGCAACCCGTGTTTAAGAAGCGTGAAGCGGCGGGTTGCTGTGACCAGGAGGCGCTGTGGTAGGTGCGTCCTACTGTGTTAGGGTGTGTGCCGTGAAGGCGTGTGCTGAGACACTGGGTTGTGTGTGTGTGTGTATGTGTGTGTGTGTGCAGCCTAGTGGAGCCAATGAGACCTGTGCTGTGTACCTGTGTACTGGCCAGGGAATGGGTAACAGTATATTAGGGTGTGTTCCTTAAAGGAACATGTGTAGGGGGGTGGGAGTCTAGGTCTTGAGGGTTCGTGCGTCTAACTGTAGCTGTCACACTCATCCAAAAGGGCACGGGGTTGTTTAAGTTGCCCAGTGTCACACCTGATTGTGTTGTGCTCTCGATGGCCACGGGTTGTGTGTCCCTGCTGATCGTGCAGATGCTGGAGCAGATTCTAAGCTGGTGACGGAGCCCCAGTGGGCGCTGGTGTGCGGGAGGTAGGTCTGTGTTCATGTATGTACGGATGTACGTACGTACGCATGTGTATGTCGGTGGTATGGCCCTCCAGGTGCCCGCGGTGAGCTGGACGCGCCTGAGTGAGCCCAGCTCGTCGCCCAACAAGTGTGTGTGTGTATGTGTGTGTTGTGGATAATGCTCCTGGCCGGCTTCGTCCCCGAGGAGACTCCACGCCAACCCCGAGGGCCGCGCACTTCCCCCAAACCATCTCCATTCCGCGCGCTCCTGGAGTCTTCCCATCCTCGCCGCTCCAAGCGCGCCCTGGGTGCCAGTGCCGGGCAGGGGTCTGACTCCGCAGCACCTCCCCTCCTTCTCCCGGTTCCCTGCTGTGAATCTTGGAGGCCACGATGCCTCGGCCGCAACCCCCACTCGGTGGCCCAGCACCCCCCAACCTCAGCCCCGGAGCGCTGGACACCGGCCGGGCCCCCGCGGCCTCGTTCCACTGAGCGCCCCTCCCTCAGCTCCCGCCGGCCATAGCGGCTCCGGGCTCCCGAACCACCGCCGCCGGATCCTTACCCGCCTCGGGGCAGCACCGGCCGCCGGCCCTGCTGTCCATG